TGAAGGATGAAATAGCACTTTGGACTGTAGTTGGCTGACCAAATTAAAGTTAATAAATAGTCAAAGGATAAATTGCTTGTAAACAATAGTTGGATGATGAAATTGAACTTTTCAAAAATTGAAGGATGAAATTGCTTTTCAAACATAGTTCAAAGACCAAATTGATCTTTTAAAAAACCTAAAGGATGAAATTGATGTTTTGAAACGTTGAAGGATTCAATTGATTGTAAATCATAGATGGATAACCGAATTGAACTTTTTAAAACTTTGAAGGATGAATTTGCTTTTTTTAATAATTGGATTACCAAATTGAACTTTTATTAAAGTTGAAGGATGAAATTGATTTTAAGCCCTTGTTTGCCCCACATTATATCTCATTACATTATATTAAATTTTTCTCTCTCTTCATCTCAACCCTACATTCATCAAATAAAATAATAATACACACAAATCTAAAACTTTTCAACCACACATCTCGTCATCTCCCATCAATCATTATTCTAAAAATTTTCAACCCCCTAAAAATCTACAATAATGGGGGCCAAACAGGGGCTAAATATTAGATCGATGACCGAATCGAAGTTAATTTATTGTTGAAGGATGAATTCCATTTAATGTATAGTGTGATTACCAAATTAAGCTTTTGGAAAAGCTGAAGGATGAAATTGCTTCTCTGTAATAATTGGACGACCAAATTAAACGGTTAGAAAAGTTTAAGGATGCAATGAATTCTGACCAATAGTTGGATGACCAAATTGAATTTTTTGAAAATGGAGGACGAAATTGCATTTAATCTATAACTGGATCACTTAATTGAACTTTTGTAAAGTTGAAAGAAACCCTAAACCCTAACATCCCAAAAGCCTGAACCCTAAAATCCAAAAACCCTAAACCCTTCAAGTTTTCCAAAAGTTCAATTTGATCATCAATATATTAGTTGAAAACAATTTCATCCTTTAACTTTTTCAAAAGTTCAATTTCGTATTCAAACTATTATTCGAATGCAATTTCGTATTTCAACTTTTGTAAAGTTCAATTTGGTGATCCAACTAGTATGTAAAAGCAATGTCATCCCTCAACTTCTCCACAAGTCAATTTATTTACCCATCTATTATATAAAAACAATTACATCCTTAGACATTTCCGAAAGTTCAGTTTGGTCATCCAACTATGCTTTAATATCAACTTTGTCCTTCAACTATTTATTAACTACAATTGAGTCATCCATCTATTTTTTAAATCGATTTATCTTATAACGTTTTCAAAAGTTTAATTTGGTCATCCAACTATGCTTTAATATCAACTTTGTCCTTCAACTATTTATTAACTACAATTGAGTCATCCATCTATTATTTAAATCGATTTATCTTATAACGTTTTCAAAAGTTTAATTTGGTCATCCAACTATAGATTAAAATGCAATTTTATTTAATTTCATCATGAGCTATTATTTAAAAGTAATTTAATCCTTCAACTATTTCTTGCCTTCAATTTGGTTATTCTTCTATTTCATCCTTCAACTATTTCCAAACTTCAATTTGGTCATCCAACTATGCTTTAATAGCAACTTTATCCTTTAGCTATTTATTAACTTCAATTGGGTCATCCATCTATTATTTAAAACGATTTCAACATAGAACTTCAAAACTTTAATTGGTCATCCAACTAGATAGATAAAATGCAATTTCATCCTTCAACTATTTATTAACTTCAATTTGGTCACCCAACTATTATTCAAAAGAAATTTCATCCTTCCACCTTTTCAAAACTTCAATTTTGATTTCAGTGGTCGGTCAACATCGTCGGCGTCGGCTTCAGCTTCTTCGTCGTCGTAGCAGAAACCTATCATTGGTGGGCTTTCGGCCTTGCTTTCTTCTCCATCAGTGAAATCCTCGAGTTATTCTAGTGGAGCAGAAGAATTAGGGTCATTATGGCATGAAAGAAACGAAGAATTGGGGTCACCTTTTCGGTACTCGTCTTTGAAGCGAGATCAGGTAATCAGAGCCCGGTTTCTCTGCTCCAGCGTCTGAGTAGTTCGATTGGGTCGAGTTCCAGGAGCCCATCTGTGAGATCTATGATTGGAGATTTGAGAATTTCTGGGGATTTAAATTCAATACGGTAGGGGAGTAGAGGATTGTTCAATGGATTTGTCAGGCACGCCATTAAAGTTTAGTGTTCGTTTGACCTTCATTTGTATCAAAATTGTCCATGAAAGTAAAATTTTTTTTTACACTTTGTTATGAAATTTGTGTCTAAAAAAAAAAATGTCAAAAATAACTGCTGGGTGGAAAACCAATTCTCACCTTTTTAGGTGAGAATCGATTTTCCACAATTTAGAGGAAAAAGGCGCGTGGAGGCAGTGATTCAGAAAATAATTTCTAGCCACTTTTTGCCAATCAAACATGCATTTTGTTGGAAAATTGAAATCTTTTTCCATTTTCCATGGAAAATGGAAGTAATCAAACACAGCCTTAATGGATTACCAAATTGAAAATTTGAAAGAGTTGAAGGATGAAATTCCCTTTAATCAATAGCTGGTTTACCAAATTGAACTTCTCAAAAAGTTTATGTATGAAAGTGCCTTTAAATAATAGTTGGATGACCAAAATGAAGTTAATAAATAAATGAGGATGAAATTGCAATTAACGTATAGATTGATTACCAAATTGAACTTTTAAAAACAATGAAGGGAGAAATTGCTATTGTGTAGGACGATTGCAAAATTGAAGTTTTCAAAAAGTTGAAGGATTAAATTATTGAGGTTAATATTTTGAAACCAAATTGAAGAATGAAACTGCTTTTAAATAAGAATAAAGCTATGTGTACACAATTTTTTACACAATATCACATGGAGAAGGGTCCACACATAATAAAATAATTGTGGGCCCCCTCCATGTGAGTGAGGTGTAAAACATTGTGTTAAAAATTGTGTGTACACATAGCACCACTCTTTAAACAATAGCGTGATTACCAAATTTGACTTTTTAAAGGTTGAAGTATGAAATTGATTTTAAATAATAGTTAAATGACTAAATTGAAGTTAGTGAATAGTTGAAGGATGAAATAGCACTTTGGAGTGTAGTTGGCTGACCAAATTAAAGTTAATAAATAGTCAAAGGATAAATTGCTTGTAAACAATAGTTGGATGATGAAATTGAACTTTTCAAAAATTGAAGGATGAAATTGCTTTTGAAACATAGTTCAAAGACCAAATTGATCTTTTAGAAAACCTAAAGGATGAAATTGATGTTTTGAAACGTTGAAGGATTCAATTGAATTTAAATCATAGATGGATAACCGAATTGAACTTTTTTAAACTTTGAAGGATGAATTTGCTTTTTTTAATAATTGGATTACCAAATTGAACTTTTATTAAAGTTGAAGGATGAAATTGATTGTAAATATTAGATCGATGACCGAATCGAAGTTAATTTATTGTTGAAGGATGAATTCCATTTAATGTATAGTTTGATTACCAAATTAAGCTTTTGGAAAAGCTGAAGGATGAAATTGCTTCTCTGTAATAATTGGACGACCAAATTAAATGATTAGAAAAGTTTAAGGATGCAATTAATTCTGACCAATAGTTGGATGGACAAATTGAATTTTTTTGAAAATGGAGGACGAAATTGCATTTAATCTATAACTGGATCACTTAATTGAACTTTTGTAAAGTTGAAAGAAACCCTAAACCCTCAAATCTCAAAAGCCTGAACCCTAAAATCCAAAAACCCTAAACCCTTCAAGTTTTCCAAAAGTTCAATTTGATCATTAATATATTAGTTGAAAACAATTTCATCCTTTCACGTTTTCAAAAGTTCAATTTCATATTCAAACTATTATTCGAATGCAATTTCGTATTTCAACTTTTGTAAAGTTCAATTTGGTGATCCAACTAGTATGTAAAAGCAATGTCATCCCTCAACTTCTCCACAAGTCAATTTATTCACCCATCTATTATATAAAAACAATTACATCCTTAGACATTTCCGAAAGTTCAGTTTGGTCATCCAACTATGCTTTAATATCAACTTTGTCCTTCAACTATTTATTAACTACAATTGAGTCATCCATCTATTATTTAAATCGATTTCTTAATAACGTTTTCAAAAGTTTAATTTGGTCATCCAACTATAGATTAAAATGCAATTTTGGTCATCCAACTGTAGATTAAAATGCAATTTTATTTAATTTCATCATAAGCTATTATTTAAAAGTAATTTAATCCTTCAACTATTTCTTACCTTCAATTTGGTTATTCTTCTATTTCATCCTTCAACTATTTCCAAGCTTCAATTTGGTCATCCAACTATGCTTTAATAGCAACTTTATCCTTTAGCTATTTATTAACTTCAATTGGGTCATCCATCTATTATTTAAAACGATTTCAACATAGAACTTCAAAAATTTAATTGGTTATCCAACTAGATAGATAAAATGCAATTTCATCCTTCAACTATTTATTAACTTCAATTTGGTCATCCAACTATTATTCAAAAGAAATTTCATCCTTCCACTTTTTCAAAACTTAAATTTTGATTTCAGTGGTCGGTCAACATCGTCGGCGTTGGCTTCAGCTTCTTCGTCGTCGTAGCAGAAACCTATCATTGGTGGGCTTTCGGCCTTGCTTTCTTCTCCATCAGTGAAATCCTCCAGTTATTCGAGTGGAGAAGAAGAATTAGGGTCATTATGGCACGAAAGAAACGAAGAATTGGGGTCACCTTTTCGGTACTCGTCTTTGAAGCGAGACCAGGGTCATCAGAGCCCGGTTTATCTGCTCCAGCGTCTGAGTAGTTAGATTGGGTCGAGTTCCAGGAGCCCACCTGTGAGATCTATGATTGGAGATTTGAGAATTTCTGGGGATTTAAATTCAATACGGTAGGGGAGTAGAGGATTTGGATTTGTCAGGCACGCCATGGGTTCATGCGTTGCCTATGATTCTTAACCGGGTTTTCAAGTGAAGGGTTTCCATCCATCCCTTTCATCAACTATTTCCGGTGATGAGCTCACGTTTAGCGTGGAAGATAGTTTTGTGGAGGAGTTGGAAATGCTGCTTTATGCAAGAGACGTGCTTCAGAACCTATTATGGGCCAGGTAGTGTTCTGTCATCACTTAATGCAATTTCCTCTCTAGTTAATGGCTTTTTGTGAGGAAATTAATACTAATTGAATTTGGGATTGCGGCAGTGTTGATTTTGGAAATGTTAGCAAGTGGGCATCCTTATTTGCAGCACTGCGTGGAGGACTGCAGTTTTGCTAGCAGCAATTGGGGCAAATGCTACCGTTGTTGTGTCATGATTTCCATTGTATGTTATGGAACTTGTCCCACATCGAAAGTATAGGCTTTGGGTGTGTGATTTATAACTTCTTGGGCACCCTCCTCTTGATAATTAACTTTTGAGGTTGAGTTCTACTCAAAAGGTTGTAACAATGGTATCAGAGTAAGCACCAAGTCTCCCGATTGTAATTGTGCGGCGAAGATGGTGACACGGCATAGCAGTGTTAGTTCGAGACTAGCCATGGGCTAGTGCAAAGCCAGTCCGACGTGGGCATCGGGATCGCGGAGCGTGGTAGTTTGTCATGGTTTCCATTGTAAGCTATGGAGCTTGTCCCACATCAAAAGTATGAGTTTTGGGTGTGTGATTTATAACCCCTTGGGCACCCTCCCCTTGATAGCTAGCTTTTGAGGGTGAGTTCTACCCAAGAGGTTGTAACATGTTGCTGCAAGGCTTTTGCATGACAAAGTTGATGACACTTTTGTGTCTATTGATTTGGTAGAAGGGGTAAATAAATTGATTCTATCAACTTTTTTTTAATAAATTGTTATTTAGATTGATTTTGGCATGTAATATAGATGAAATTCCATTTAAGCTAATCATGCGAGGATATGTTCTTCAAAACTTTATGATCTGTGATTGTATGTTTACATGAAATATTACCAAACTTTGGATGTTAATGATATACTTGCCATTGTAAACTCAAGCTGTTAAATGCTCTCTCCTTTTTTGGTGGGGGCACGAAAGGAGTAATTGTGATTCTTCCTTTATTTACTGATGGGTCGTTGGGTTTTCACATGGTGAATGCAAGGGATGCCATAAAGAAAATGACACATTGATGAAGAATTGCTCATAATGACAGTGATCTCATGTTGATAGGGAATTTAGTCGTGACTGTAACATAGGATGTTAAACATTATGGGATGATATATGAGAGGCCCTGGCTTGTCGATAAATCTGCAGGGACTTGTTCAATTTATGTGAAGTACTTTTCTTTGCAACTCTAGTTGAGAAGCTGATCGGCATAAATGTGAAATGATATATTGAGTTTCTTCCAGGTGTCTAAACTGAGCCACTTGATCAATCTTGCGCTTGAGAATAACACAACCAGTAAAATTGTTGAGGCAGACCATTTGCATACCATGTTCCTTGCGATGGCCGATGCTAGGGCTGTTCTCATAAAACTGGCAGATCGATTCCATAACATGATGACCTTGGATGCATTACCTTTAATCAAGCAACAAATATTTGCGAAAGAAACTTTGGAAATATTTGCTCCACTAGCCAACTGATTAGGGATCTCTACTTGGAAAGAGCAACTTGAAAATCACTGTTTTAGTTATCTCAATCCAAATCAGCACAAAGAAATGGCATCCAAACTTGTGAAGTCCTTTGATGAGTCTATGATTTCTTCTGCAGTAGATAAACTAGAGCAAGATCTTAAGAGTGATGCCATTTCTTATCTCTCTGTCTGGGCCCCATAAGAGCTTGTATAGCATCTATTCCAAGATGTTAAATATGCTCTTTTTCTCTCATACACTCCCACACAGAGTTAGCAGTCTCACATACAAAAAGAAACAAACCAATATCTTCTCATGCAATTTGTTGACCCTCAGTTGTTATCTTTACTATCTTTTCTAAGTCAGGTAAAACATATTCATCTGTTCTAACTGATTTTGGGGGTTGATTATTTGCATGAATAACTTCACAGTGGCTTCAGTTCCCGTACTAGTTAAGATTGAACCCAGTTAATGTATAAATATTTTCAAGCGGTAAAAAATATTTTTCTTGCGTAGCAAGACATTGCTCTGCGTTTTGTTCACGAGGCTCTGGAAATTTTAAATATATAAGTTGTGACATGTCATCAAGCTAATTACATTGCTTTCCTGTTCTAAAAACAAATCATGTTAATATGCCTCATATGGTGGTGTAATTTACCTTCTGCAGAAAGAAGTTGAATATGAATGAAATTCATGATATCCATGGTTTGAAACCGAGGAAGACTGTTATAAAGCTTTGAGAATTGTACACCAGCTATGGGGCTGGGAGGTTAAAGGACTACATAGTTTATCCCAAGTTTAATGGGTATTCTATATCTAGAAGTGACGGCTTATTCCACATATCATTTGTTAATTTAAACTCTAATTTTTTTCAGGTACAGATCTCTAAATACAGTAGTGAGAGGTGAAGGTATGGTTTCACTAGAAGTTAAATCACTTTTTATCTACACATTTTATTAGACCTACTAGTACCTACCACTCATTTCTACTTGTTTATAATCACTTATTTTAATGAGTTGAAGCATAGGACGTCAGTTCCAACCATTATTAGACATCAATTTATAGTGAGATAGCTCAATTTCAAATAAGAACATTGTATGTATCAAGTACAAAAATACATCCTTACGTCAACCAGAGTAATGCATATATGAAAGTACTTTTTGCTAGGGAGATCATTGCTGAGATCTCATCCTTGCGTACAAAAACAAACTTACCTTGGACGTTTAGCTCCAAGCGGAAAAGACACTCGCTGCGGGGTGCCTTGGGGAATATCTCTTCGGTCTTGGGAAACGTTGGGATTGGGATTGGGATTAGGATTAGGGGTGGGATCAATACCTTCGTCATCGTCCTCTGTTTCTTCAATTGGGTGGCTTCGCTTCTTTGGAATAGCCAATTGGTAATTTGGACTAATCAAGGTATCCTGCTCTGGAGGAAGAGGAATTTCAGGCCCTGCTATTGATTTTGGCAACGGGATCTTATTTCTATTCCTTGCCAACTCGAGTAGCACCTGATGAGTAGCAGACTTGAAAAATTTATTTGATCATTCAACAACTTTCACGTATTTAAATATGAAAACAGAAGCATGTCTGATTGAGTGGACACTTTCGGAAAAACAGCATGATTAAAAAAAAACCCATATTACCAAAGCATTTAAAAACCTTCTCAAATTTCGCACAAGTAGGCTATCAAAGCTTCATTGGAATGAAAAAACTGAGCCCCTATTTGGCCCCCATTATTGTGCATTTTTTATGGTTGAAAATTTTTGGAATAGTGATTGATAGGAGAATGTGTGGTGGAAAAGTAGTGAAAAGTTTTAGATTTGTGTGTAATATTATTTTATTTGATGAATGTGTGGTTGTAATGTAGAGAAAGAAAATTTTAATGTAATCTAATGGAATTTAATGGGGGCCAAGCAGGGGCTATTACCAGGAGGTAGTACAATCTTGATGAGAAGTGTAAAAGAAAAATTCATTCCTCTAACTTGTATATAATGTGGTCCTAGTAATGAGATATTATGATGGAGCTCCTAAAATTAAATCAGTACGATCCAGAGTTCAAATTTATCACACTTCCAAATATTATCACACATTTAAACCTAATATATTATCCAAATGATACATGCAGTTGTTCTAAAACAGACGATTGAAGTCACATTGCAAAAATCCAGGAAAAAAAAGAATAATTAACACAACATGGAAAAGTATAGTAAAATTACCTCTCGAGGTGGAGGTTGCGAGAAACTAAAATTGACTTTAGACTGAATCGCGAGTTTAATATCATCAGAGTCAATTGTAGACTTGCCAGCATGTTCCGAGTAGACTTGTGCATCTGTTAGAACATCAACAACATACCGATACCACAGTTCTAAAAACTGATGCACAACACGAGGCTCATAGTCATCAACATTCATAGATTTAAGTAGCGTCTTTACAACTTTTGCATCTCTTGGTATGTCCTCTTCTCCTCCCTCTGCCATCTCCTACACACTTGTTCCCTACTGAAACAAATTTCCAACGTAATTTCTCTTTTAGACTAAATGCTATGAGAGAATTAGTAATCAAGTAATATGACCCAAGAATGCAATTTCTGTTACGAAAGAGGAATAAAAAGAAAATTACACAGGTGAAACCCAGATACTATTTAACTATCTCTTTCAACCAACATAATCATCCAAAGAAATGGAGATACTAAATATCATATTTGTTTTAACAAACGCGGCTCAAAAGATTATAAAGCCAGCAAACTTTGATTTATTAACAAAAGAACCTTTCCCTCAGTGTTTAAATGAGTATTTACATTTTGTTATTTTGGGATATTAGTCACCTAGAAAGAAATTTCAAGCTAAAGATTCAAAAACAGGAAAATCAAGTACAATCCCGAACCTAACAATTTTCACTAATACAATTCACATAATTTCACTAAAAGAAAAACATAAAATTCACCATTTTCGATTAAGATATTTTAATGCAGTTTAATATTAAAAAAGTAGAACAAGAGATAATTAAAAAGCATGTAAAACATTAAAAAAATTGAAAATTCCATCAACACAACAGATTCTGGAAATTCATACAGGGAAAATTCACCAGGATTCTCCCCCTCACACATCATCACTTGATGTTCTGGAAAAAGGAGCTATTCATAGGGGTGGGCCTAAACTGGTTTCAATTGGGTTTGGTTCCCAAGAGAACATGATCAAACCGGTTCCAATTTGGAATCTTACACTTGGAATCAAACATTTGTAGATCCAAGACAGGTACAAGAACAGACCAGAGTAGATGGTCCGACACTTTTGAAACAGGTTTACAGTATTTTACTATTCTAGCACAAGTTTAGACAAGGCTAACCAGTCCACAATCTTGAATGCTGTATGCCTGTACTAGTGCATAAGTGTCTTACAACTAACAGTACTTTGTTTTCTAGCACTTAAGCAGCAATCATAAACATACTACAAATAAATAATTTTAAATGTTTAATGAAGTATAAAACTCCAGACTCCAGCACTAATTAAATTTACATAAAACATTAATATAATCACTTGTACAATGTGTTTCCTAAATAAGATTAGTCAAGATTATAGACTGTCAATTCCCAAGCCTTGAAGAACACAATATTCAGCTATATCTAGACCAAGAACCTATGGAATCGGAAGAATTTAAAAAAATAATAAAATAAAAAACAAAATTAATCCATCAGAAAATGTAAGAACGAAATAAAATAAAAAAAGAATTCTAAAACAAAGTTTTATGCATTAAAAGATCAAAGATCAAAAGCATCCAAGAACATGTATAAAATTATAAATATCACCAAGATCATATATCAAATCTTACCTCATTAATAACTTCTCTGGTTCTTACAAATCAATGATCATAATAGCAATCTATGAAAAGTTTTGGGTTTACATGAACATTATTTTATTGAGAGGATGTGTGGAGGAAAATGAGTTTGGAGAAAAATGAGTTTTAAGGAATGGGGTCAAACAGAAGCATAGTATTGTCGATTTACAAAAGGAATTGAAATAAGCAATTATTAGTGGACGAATTATTTAGGATTCTTTGATTACTTTCCGTGACACCACGAGAAGAAAACAGAGAGGAGGAATGGGTGGTTAGGTTATCTGACTGCTAAAATGGTGATGGGTTGGTTCAACACATATAAGGAAAAAAGGAAAAGAAGTATTAAATGACTATATTTTTGATTCTTTCCCGTGAAAACAAGAACCAAACCAAATAAGGACCTTCCCGATCTCGAATTTGAAACCAAAACCATTATGGAACCGAGCCATTTTGTCCAGCTCCAGTCCAACTTCATGGTACACCTTAATTTTCCCTTTATATATTTTGTGAAAGGACTAATGAAGTTTGTTTAAATCACATACTTGTAGGACTACCGGTTCAATTGTTGAATTGACAAGTAAATATTTAGATGAATTTTTAAAAAATGATTAAACAAATTGTTTCAATTGTTTGTTTATATTAAAGACACAAAAGGAAATTTTAAATCTTTCATTGTTGATCAAAAAAATAATAAATTTACTCGTTTTTATTTTATACGTGATCTCTCTCTCTCTCTCTCTCTCTCTCTCTCTCTCGTACTGATATAGTAATAATATATTTTTATTTTTTTAGTTTTATAACTACATTCCAGTGACGTGGTAAATCATTCCATTTTTTAATATTTTATTCACAGACGAGTTTGAAAATTATTGTTTTATGATTTTATACTCTATGAATAACTTATAATGCTTATATTATCTTCATTTTACTCGTGTACATAAATTGGGGGAGGACCAAGAACTATACGCTAGGGAACTAAAATTTTAAAATATAAATGTACGAACAGAACTCATATATCACAAATAAACATATTTTGTAGCTCCCTATTTTGTGAAAGTCAAAGTCAACAATAAATTTTAACCACATATTTCATGGGATCTACAGTTTTTTAACCACGCATTTTATCAACTTTTATCAAAATCTACTAACAATCTGATTTTAATCCCTACCAAACAGGGGCATAACATTGATTATAGATATTGGGTTGAACAACTTTTTCATTTTATGATGATTCTAGCTTCTGTGGTTGACATCAAAGCACGTTAAATCACATAATAATGTAATTGTACACCAAAGTTAAATTAAATTTGAACAATTGAAAATTTAAAAATATTTCTTTTTTAACTTGGCGAAAGATGTTTTTCGTCATGCTAATGAGTTCCAACTCATAATTTAAAAATCAAAGCACATTGCATGACAATGTACGCAAGACAATGAAAGTTTTATTGAGATGAAAATAGTTCGTCGGTTAATCATTTTTTCTTTTCTAGAGTAAAAGTTAAAATAAAAATAATTATAAAGCTCAATATTGACTATTCTTTCAGATAGTCCCTGTTAATGAAGTTTATATACTTTAGCTTAAGATTAAGTACTTTATGTAAAAATAAATCAGTCAAAAGGATTTATTTATGTTTAGTGCTTGGTGAGACAATCTAAGTTTCATTGTGTTTTCAACGAGTTGTTCTTGTTTCAAATTTCAAAGTTGAACCCTAAACCCTAAACTAATTTTCAAATTCAAGTATGCAAACTTTCATACTTAATCGCTTATTAAACAATAAAAAAATCATAAAAATAAACTCATCATTCATACTTAATTACTTCTTCAAATTGCATAAAAATGGGGGCAGCAAAATAGAAAACGATTTACCACGAATGCTCGGCTGGAACCTGGATGCAGAAATAAATCGGCGAAGGCGGGCCGCGGTTATGGAGGGTTGCAGCTGGCGAACAGTTTGGGTTCCTACTGCCAAATTGGAGGGAGTGCGCAGAGGAGACGAGATCAGATCAGATACAAGGAGAGTGAGAGTCGGCTATTTGGTTTTAATTTGGGGATTTGGGAGGGGAATTTGGCCATTTCTCCGGGTTGGGGAATGATTTTGGTGAAATGGCTTTTGACTCATATTAAAAATAAATAAAAAATTCAGAATGTTTTAATTTGTAAAATAATATAGAATTATGCTATTTGTATCCTTTGAAAGTACACTTTGATTTACTCGACTCCATATCCTCCCTCACATGAAGGTCGAGTCCAACGTCCAATAAATGAGTGAGACCTAACCTCATGTGAGGGAGGGGTGGAGTCGTATAAACCAACATGTATCCCAAAGGGTACATGTAGCAAGATTGAATAATATAATTGTCCACTCAAAATTCATCCAATTTTCCCTCATTTCACATGTTATTTCTCCTCCAACGAGGTAAAAACCCTATTCTCCTATATTTTGAAATTAACGTCTCCTTCCACTATTCAGCTCTACTATAAAATCAACTACATATCGCCAGGCTTGTTTAATTGATTGGGAAGAATCAATTGTTTATGGACATAATTTCAAAAACTTGAAGATTTAGAAACAATCGAATATTCAACTACTACAACGGTGAAAGTGAAAGCACTATAACTAAGTTTTTTTTTTACCTTCTTTATGCAATAATTTTATCCATGACAGTGAATCCATTTTTACTTTATTTCTCTCAATATGTAGTGAATATGCGTTAGAGTCGGTTCACTTGTAGTATTTGATTAAATTGAAAGGAATTTTAGTATTTTGTTATCTTCTGTGTATTTGTTTTAGAGTTAACATGCTATTGGTTCTATGCACTTTGGAAATCATATTTTTAAGGGATAATTGCAGTAAAAGTTTCAAACCTTTCAAATACTACCAGACTTTCCTCAAACCTTTGATTTGTTGCAGTTGTCACCCCTAACCCTTCCAAACGTTTCGGAGGAGGCCCTTTTGGAAGGTTTCCATCCAAACCTCCGTCAGTTGACCACCCAAAAAAAGATTGACTACTTTTTACCAAAATACGGGAGGGTAAATTTGTCCATACACGTTGTCCACTAACCTACATCTTCATTTTTGAATTGGAAGTATAGGATGACCCTTACGAAGAGATAAAAAATTGTCGAAACAATATCCACAATGAACTCGCCTGAAGTCAGAGAACCTGACGACAAAGATGTCGGATATGCGTGCCATCTGAGATGATCACTACCTGAACCCATCTATGGTACATTTTTGCAAGTGTTGTATTTGCGAATTATAGTTAGAGTAAAATTGTACAAAACATTTTGTAACACTCTTTGGGTACATGAACTTAGCTGGGATCGTTATGAAGAAGCACTAAAATCCATTGCATTTCTTGATTTTGTGAGTTCGATGTTTGTGGTGAATGCAATGAGTAGGGTTTTCAAAAATTGCATTAAATGGATGTATGGACAAAATTTAGTAATGAGTATGTACGAATGTGTATTGTGATAACCATATTTGTTCTGAGTGGACTTGTGTAAATTTTTCCCTTTTCAGGTGAGAACTCCACTGATTTCACAATCCGGCTGAATCATTGTGGGATTCTTTTAAGCAAAATGTGAATTACGTGCATGAATACGGTAAGATCAGCTATATTGATTACGTGTCACAAAACTTAGCCTAGAGTTGTTGGAAAGTACAGGTCACAAAACTAAAGTACTTCCTTAGTGGTTTACAAGTTAGGTGGCCAGAGTCATCTAAAATTTAGTAGTTCTGGACTAATTGTAAGTTAACTTTTCTAGTAGATTTTACTGGCAAGTTTGCTCGGAGGTTTTCAATTCTTGTGAAAAGATCTTCAAGGGTTTTTCTTCATGATCATATCTAGTGATAATTATTTCATTTGTTTGATATGATATTTGTAATAGTTTAAAATTGATTTTAAAATTACTCATCTAAAAATAATAATTAAGTGACTTGTTTCTTGTTGTAGATTAATTCCACATATTTGGGTCTAAACAATTTCCAAACAAATGGTATGAGAGCGTTTATTTTTTGACAAAATTGGCCACCATAAGACACAGAAAAGGGTCTTTCACAAATTCTATATGTATATATATAAATAGGTATTTGAAGTATGTAAATAGCTGAAAAGATTGTTATAACTATAGCAGAATATAAATTAGGGAAATTTTCAAAAATGTCACTAAATTTGAAAATCCAAAAAAAAATAAAAAAAATTGTCACTTTCACTTTTTGTGAGCAAAAATGTCACTTTTTTGGTGCAAAATGTCCAAAATATCCTTATTACCACTTTTTTAGGAGCATTTAATGTTTGATTTGAATGTAATTAATGTTGTGATGTGATGATCTACTTTGAATATTATAAAAATTATTTATATGTATATTATATTGAGTAATAATAGTTTTCTTTAAAAAAAAAAAGATAAAAGAATTTGAAATATTAATATAACCACACATTCTTCTTCACATTAACAAACCCTAACATCTTCTCCATCTTCTTCATTCATTGATCAAGAACACATTATAATTGAATTCATCATCCATTTTGAGAGGTTAGTCATTACAAATTGTTTATAATTTTATCTTATAGATTACTATTTTTTAGATGTTTAAATACAATATGGTCAAATGTAATGTTAGAAATTTTTGAAACTATTATTCATTAATTTGTTTGATTTTTGAAATATTTGTGAAAAATAAAACTATCAATATCCTTTACATAATTGAAGGATTTCATATTTAATGAAGCATTGTGTTGTTTATTAATGAGAAGANTATATATATAAATAGGTATTTGAAGTATGTAAATAGCTGAAAAGATTATTATAACTATAGCAGAATATAAATTAGGGAAATTTTCAATCACTAAATTTGAAAATCCAAAAACAAAATTGTCACTTTCACTTTTAGTGAGCAAAAATGTCACTTTTTTTGTGCAAAATGTCCAAAATATCCTTAATACCACCTTTTTAGGAGTATTTAATGTTTGATTTGAATGTAATTAACGTTGTAATGTGATGATTTACTTTAAATATTATAAAAATTATTTATATGTATATTATATTGAGTAATAATAGTTTTCTTTTAAAAAAAAAGATAAAATAATTTGAAATATTAATATAACCACACATTCTTCTTCACATTAACAAACCCTAACATTTTCTCCATCTTCTTCATTCATTGATCAAGAACACATTACAATTGAATTTATCATCTATTTTGAGATGTTAGTCATTACAAATTATTTATAATTTTATCTTATAGATTACTATTTCTTAGATGTTTAAATACAATATGGTCAAATGCAATGTGAGAAATTTTTGAAATTATTATTTATTAATTTGTTTGATTTTTGAAATATTTGTGAAAGATAAAATTATCAATATCCTTTACATAAATGAAGGATTTCATATTTAATGAAGCATTGAGTTGTTTATTAATGAGAAGATGTTTTCATGTGGTAGTTGAAAAATGATTATCACCATTAATGTTTTCAATAATTTTTTCAAATGTATCAAATACATGTTTTTTCAAATTTCTCGGCAGTTCCTACAGAACATCTGTGAAACAGTTATGTTGAAACTGTTAGGTTAGACATGTGAACTGTCGGGATAGACAATTTAAATGTCGAATTCGACAGTTGAAAATTGTTAACACATCGTTGATTTCACATTCTGTTACTCCATGGATTTCAATATTCGAAAATTTCACATTCATATTATTAAATGTAGACATATTTATTATGCTGAATTCTTAGTATTGCAATCTCAACGCTTCAGGTATGAATAATCATTTGAGATTCATCGTATCGTATGGAGGACGGTTTGTTCATGTGGATGACGAATGGAAGTGGAGAAGGGATAAAACCACTTCCATTTTAGTGCCAACAAGTATTACCCTAACTGGACTCGTGCTACAATTGAAGGACAAACTTCGTATTCTTGATCCCCGGACTGAAATTGAATTAAATTTCAAAGTCCCGAACTTCAATATACCTCCGGCCGAAATACGCGAAGATGAAGACTTAAAATGATACATATCAGTTAATAATGAAACTGTCATATGCGTTACTGTTTCGGAAGCCGAGCTCCCAAGTGTTGGCATGGGGAGGGATACAAATTGTCCAGATCGTTCGTTTGCCCTAGTCGATGTTCACCAAAATATACAACATGAGGAGCTCAATCATTATGATAGGGTATCAAACAATAATGCACCCGAAACTCCAATTTGTGATATTGGGACTGTACCTTCATATGAGAACTTGGACAACCCATCACATGGTATAGAGGCTGCTAATAATGATGATGTTGATGAGCAAATGTCTTCACATTCCAGGACTTCGGATAGATACGAATGGATTACAAGAGTGAATACATTCGATTTTGTCGAAAGGCAAATATTCTTCAGCAAGAAAGAGTTGTACTCGAGAATTCGTGTACTTGCTTTGCAAGACAAGTTCCAATTTAAGGTCAGCAAGTCAAGCATGAAAATGTTAATTGTTGTATGTGCTGACGATATTTGCATGTGGATGCTACGTGCTTCGTCTGTGAAAAAGTCTGCAGTCTTCAAGATTTGTAAATTCAACAATGTGCACACATGTACCGTAGATTTCCATTGCAACGCACATCGACATGTCACTAGTTCAATAATTGCTGAGCATATTTTGAGAAAATTGGACAATCCATACCGAAAGTATGACCCTACTGATATTGCACGTGACATGGAACGTGAGTTTGGTGTCGAAATCAGTTACAGCAAAGCACGTAAGAGGACGTTGGCTGCTTTACATTTGCTCCATGGTACACCAGAGGATAGTTTTCAAAAACTATCTTCATACTGTCACGTTCTAGGAGAGTGTAACCTGGGGATGGTTACACACATCGAAGTTGACTCTCATAATAGGTTTCATTACTTCTTCCTAGCTTTCGGTGCAAGCATTTGTGGTTACATACAGTACTTGAGGCCCGTTATTTGTGTTGACGGTAGTCACTTGAAAGGTCCATACAAAGGTACTCTTCTACTGGCAACTGCACAAGATGCCAACAAACAGATTTATCCATTAGCATGGGGGATCGTGGATGAAAAAAAAATAAATCCTGTACCTGGTTTATGTCGAACTTGAAAGATCTTATTGTCGATTCAGATGAACTCGTATTCGTTTCAGATAGGAAAACAAGCATTGAAAAAGCCATTTCTCACTTATTTCCATTGTCTCACTATGGTTGTTATATGTGGTATATGGAAAAGAACTTAATACAGCGGTATAGCAATGCGAGTTCAATATTCCCATTCAAATGAGCGGCTACAACGTATCAGATCGAAGAGTTTGAAGACTTATGGGTCAGATTCGTAGGGCAAGTGCAAGATCGTACGTGTACTTGGAGCGAGCAGGTTTTTCATTTTGGTCTCGAGCACTATTTGTTGGCTAGCAGTATAACATTATGACAAACAATAACGCAGAATCTCTGAACTTAATGTTAAGACATGCCCATTCATTACCGATCAAGTGCTTGGTCGAACACATTTGGAGTACTATGTAGATGTGGTTTTATGAACGTCGAACCCACGCAACCGCATGTAGTACTGTACTGTCGTCGAGGATGGAGAGTGAGTTATGGACAACATTCGATGTCGGTACTAAGCTTCGAGCTCATGCATTGACAGACAGCTTAACATAGGTTGGAATATCCAATGAAACGAACATGGTAGACTTTTCCGAAAACACGTGCACATGTCGTAAGTTCCAGCTAAATCATATGTCTTGTGTTCATGCAACTTCTGTTGTTTGCTTGAGAGGTACGTCATTATACGATCTGTGCTCCCCTTACTACACATCAGAATACTAGATAGGTGCCTATAGCGAAGAAATATATCCCGTTTCGCGGGAAGTAGATTGGTTGTTCCGAATGAAATTACAAATACTCATATTTTGCCACCCGTTGTGCGTCGTCCTCCAGGTAGACTACCCACACGACGTAAGCGATCCAGATATGAGTCGTCATACGACTCAGGAAATGCACTCATTGTGGCAGAGTTGATCATAACAGGACAACATGTTCGCACCCGTTCTGAACACAATCGATGTAAATATACTTCATCTCTCTCAACGTTGAAGTAGTATGTTATATGTTCCCCTATGGTGTTGTACAATATGAAGTTATGTTATCGTTTTATTTATATTATGGTTAGCAGACGTTATTACTCTTTATGTTCGTGCGTTATCGTTTTCAACTTG